CTCAGCAGAAGCGCTGAGAACATCAGTGTCAAAAATGACTACCAGCCCACAGGCACGGGAGGAAAGGGAGGGCTTTGACTCCTGGAGCAGTTGCCAGGAAAATCAGCCATGTGCAGCCCCTTCCCTTCAGCTCTTTGCTCCCAGCAAGGATGGCAAAAAGGGCAACATGCTTGTGCTGCAGGTGTGGGATCCTGCAAGGTGCGGGATTAAGATTTTAAATCATCCTGGTTTGATCTGTGTGTGGTTAGTGATCTTCTTTGTGCACCTGCCTGCTCAGGCACTGAGCAGGGTCTGGCAGAGGCAGCCAGGTGCATCTCAAGGGGGAGCAGGGTCTGATCAGCGTGTTTGGCCATGGACTGACACTCTTATTTCTCTCCTCATGGCAGCACTGATGTGTTCATCTGCACAAGCCCAATCAAGAAGTACCGCTACTGCCCTTACGAGAAGGTGAGCAGGTCCAAATCCTGGCTCCCCATTCCGTACCGTGCTGCCTGGCAAAAGCCATCTGACCCCCACGTGCCTCCAGCTCTCTGGCTGTAAAACAGCAGCAATATTTCCCTGCTTCCACCATAGAATCATAGAGAATCATAGAATGGTTTGGGTTGGAAAGGACCTTAAAGATCATCCAGTTCCAACCCCCCTGCTGTGGACAGGGTTGCCATCCACTAGATCAGGCTGCCCAGGGCCACATCCAACCTGGCCTTGAGTGCCTCCAGGTATGGGGCATCCACAGCTTCTCTGGGCAACCTGTTCCAGTGCCTCACCACCCTCTGGGTGAAAAATTTCCTCCTAATATCAAGCCTAAATCTCCCCTCTCTTAGTTTAAAACCATTTCCCCTTGTCCTATGTCCCCTATCTGCCCATGTAAAAAGTTGCTCTCCCTCCTGTTTCTAAGCTCCTTTCAAATACTGGAAGGCTGCAGTGAGGTCTCCTCAGAGCCTTCTCTTCTCCAAGCTAAACAAGCCCAGCTCCCTCAACCTTTCTTCCTAAGAGAGTTGCTCCATGCACCAGTTTTGTTCCTAAGCATCTTCACAGAGTGGCAGCTCCACTGTTGGCTGAGCTCTGCCATTTGCATGCGCTGAGGCACTTGCTCTTAATATTTCATCACAACATCAAAAGCTCCTTGGCTTTCAAAGAACTTGGGCTCCAGCAGCATCTGAATCCTTCCCACTAATGAACTTATTAAGTGAGATATCCTCCCTGTGTGGGGGCCAGGGCTCGTTCTGGGGGCTGCTGCTGCTCCACCGAGCAGCCCCTGCCCCGTCCATCAGCCTTCCCGTGCCCGCGCTCACCGCTCGCCTCTCGCCTTCCAGTACGCCTGGGTGGAGAAGCACTTCGGCCCTGAGTTTCTTGAGCAGATCGTTTTGACGCGAGATAAGACGGTGGTTTCTGCTGACCTGCTTATAGATGACAGACCTGATATAACAGGTAAGGCAGGTGCAGGGTGGCAGGAGTGATGGGAGGCAGTGCCAAGAGGCAGATGGCATCGTGGGGTGATGGGTGCTGGTCCCTCTCCGGCTGATTAGGCTCTTGTTAGGAGTTTGCGTCCAGAGGCTCCTCACATTGGAGTAAGGTCAACCTTTGTGTTTTGTGGAGGAGTTGTCCAGAGTACAGACCTGATATAACAGGTAAGGCAGGTGCAGGGTGGCAGGAGTGATGGGAGGCAGTGCCAAGAGGCAGATGGCATCGTGGGGTGATGGGTGCTGGTCCCTCTCCGGCTGATTAGGCTCTTGTTAGGAGTTTGCGTCCAGAGGCTCCTCACATTGGAGTAAGGTCAACCTTTGTGTTTTGTGGAGGAGTTGTCCAGAGTACTGACCTCTCTCCTCGCTTTGCAGGGGCCGAGCTGAACCCCAGCTGGGAGCATGTGCTCTTCACAGCCTGCCACAACAAGCACCTGCAGCTGAAGCCCCCCAGTCGCCGGCTGCAGTCCTGGACCGACGACTGGAAGGCCATTCTAGACAGCAAACGCCTACCACCAGGCCAGGCCACCTGAACCCTGGCTTCCTGCGGCCACCTGGGGCTGTGGCCACCCGCTTCTGTCCCTACGGAGTCCTTCTGAAGGCTGATACCACAGATGGACAGACAGATGGACGCTGTCCCTGCTGCGGAGAGGAAGAGGAGGGGGACCTGAACTGCTACGGCCACCTGGACCCAGGGAGCAGACCCCAGCCTGGCTCTGCCATAAGGAACCAGCAGCAGGATTGTCCCCGTGGGCCTGGCAGCCCAGCTGGGGTGACATTTCCCACCAGCTGTGGGGGTCTCTGTGCTGCATCTGCACCCCACATGAGGCCAGCCCGGCATTTCTGACAGACAAGGTCACCCTCAACTTGTCACTGCCCTTGTCTGGGGCACCACGTGGCACACGCCGGCTCTCCATCCTCCTCTCTGTGTTGCAGTCTGGGATCATGCAGATGTTTCATTGCAGCCTCACAGGGCTTCATACCAAGGGGCTGTCTCGGGGGACATTTCCCTCCAGACTGGTGCCCAGGTCCAGGCAGAGGGGTGGCTGGAAGGGCAGAAGGAGCCTGTGGACACTGCCTGGGCTCTGTGCACCGGCTCAGCTGGGCTGTTCCTTGCAACTGATACAGGACAGCTACATGTTTCCCTGCAGGAAAAGTCCCTGGAGCGGGATATGGGGACAGTACCACTCCTCCCATGGGTCTGGCCATGGGGAAGGAGCCCTGAGGCACCATCACAGCTGAGACATAGCCATCCTTCAGCTGGCAGGAAGGATCCCTGCTCACCCTCGTCCCTGAGAAGCTGTCACAGCTTTAGAGCTGATTTGGGCTGAAGAGAGGGGCTCTTCTCGTGTCCCCTTGTTGCTTGCAGGCCACTTGCCCAGAACATCATTGGGGCAGTGAGCAGGCAGTTGCAGTGCCATCACCAGCCCTTCCTGGGAGCCGAGCAGCTCCTGGCTCACCCTGCCAGCTACTGATGGGACAGTAGCTCCTTGGGTTTCAAAGCCAGAGAGGTCTGCACATGCAGGCTGCATGATCAAAGCACCCCATCTCCCTCCTCCTGGTCCTGTCTGACATCAGCCTGCCAGGAAATCTCGAGGTGTGCGTCCACCAGGCACCCTGCTTCCATGCAGAAGACCTTGGGTGCTGCATCCCACCAGGGTCAGACACTAGGACGGTCAATGCCGCAGAGCATCCTGAAGTCTTTGGTGTGGAACTGCCTGGGAAGATGCTGCTGGGTGGAGAAGGGGTGCTGGTGAAGGAGCTATGGCATCGCTGAGAAGTGGGTAAAGCAAAGGCATCACAGGGTTAGTTTGTTCTGCAGTTCCACCCCCGTCCCAGCTCTGGATGTCTGGGCATGGAGCGTGCTGCCAGCCCCGCTCGCCTCATGATGGGACCCCGCCTGGCTGGTGTGAAGGGGCTGTGGTGTACGTG